CCATTTTTATCGGGTGAAATATAAACAAAAGTACAAGTAAATTTGAAGTAACCTTTTAAAAAACAAAATAAATAATTTATTTATTTGCGTATTTGTCTACACAAGAGATTATAAGTTTGACAACATAGTAATTTGAATTTGATTTGATTATTATGCTTACAAGTTTAAACCAAGCATTTCGAATTAATTGAAACAATACAAATCAAGCAATAAAACAAATAAACCTATGAGGGTAACGACAAGGCGGGTGAGTCGGTTGAGGTGACGGCTAAAGGCGATCAGGCTCTCTGATGGTAACAAGGCAATAAAAAAAACATGAGTAAGTAACAGCGTCAGTGGGCTGGATCAGCAGATCAAGTCTTGCTATATCAAGAACACTGTCGTAAGGTGGCCCTCGGAGAACTGACTCGTAGAAAAACCACCATCCTCACCCTAGGCCATGCGAGGTTGATACACGGACACGTACTTTTGGGCCAAAGCCCGAGTATATGTCCCGCAAGAAGAGAAAGGTTGTCCCACCCTATTGAATGGTGCAATTCCTTGGCTCCGTATAGAGAGCGCGTAGGAATACCACCTGATATGAAACTTGTGTTTGAACACGGCAGCGAGTATCTGGGTCCCTTTCCGATTATTGGTGGAAACAGGTTGTTTATTGAATTTAGTACTGACAGTATGATGCCTAGTGTTAGTTGAGAGTGAATGTATTTATTAGCGTGAAGCATGAGAGAGTCGATGTCGCAATATTGAGTACCCCATCCATCCCCAAATAGGTTAATTATATAATAGGTGTAAATTAGTATTATAATAGGTGTAAAATTGAAAACCATAAAGGGTGATGGAAATATATCGACTACTCCACCCTAACTGAGTGAATGAAATGTAATTAAGCGTGAACGAAAGTGTAAATGGGGTTGGAGTTAGGAACGGATTGCGTTGGGTGCTGAATGACCTTGCTGTTGACATCACCCGGAGTCCAACTTTGAAGGCTGGACGGATAAAAACCTAGGATTGACCCCGGACTGCCAACCCCCGGGGTGAGTGATTCTCGACGCCTGCCGGTAATTTATTGTAAATTACAAACGCTGAAATTGCCGGTGGCCTGCGAGAAGTGACGGACAACTCAACAACTCTGAACACATGTGTGCATATGTACAAGCAGGTGCAGATTTAAGGTTATATAAATTAGTAATCAGTAGTTTTAGGGGGACCTCGATATATGAGTGGTTAGCGTGTCTGTCCTTCGGCTCGTAAACCACCTACCCCACTATTAATGAATATTTACGTAATTGATGCTTGGCTAATGTGTGAGACACGACTCCACTGAATAAAAACTAAAATAAAAAATATTTATTATAAAATGATATCCCTCCGTTGGAGGAAGTCTGCCCAAAACCAAAACGATACATTTGTACTTTGCGTGCGTTCTATACGAGAAATAACTCAGTCAATGCTGGGGTAAAAAAACAGATGCATATAGATTTTGATACTATCTTTACTAATTAAATCCTGAATTAACGCAAATCGGCATTGCCAAACATAATGCGCATACTATACAAGAAGACGCCAATTACTGATGGTAAGAACAGAAAAGAGTATGCAGAACAGAAAAGAAAAAGAAAAGGGGATCAAAATATCGCAAACGAAACATAAAGAAAATTGAACAGTCGGCCATAAAATGGAAAACGTCCTCCTTTGCACAACAAACTAGTAATCCAAAAACAAAGTGGGTGACATAACATTTTAAGACCTTGCATACCAAAATGGTCCGATTTTTGTAAACCAATTGGCGTGAATTCTATAAAGTTAGGGATAAATAAATCCGTTTAAAGAAAAAATAAAATTTGAAATAGTATAGAAATGAGAGATCAAATAAATTGACGATTCAGCGCTGTTTTTTATTTGTTTCATAATATTTTAGGGATATATCCTTAAGGTTGAACACAAAACACGTATCATTGTCATTTCCTAAAAACAGTGTTGATATTGGCAGTAAAATACATTTTTTAATAAAAAAATCTTTAACCGTTTTCAATCTCATAATACTAGCGAGGACTACTTAAGATGACCCGAGATATTGATATGCTATACATTACTCGAACTTACTCCTTTTGTAAAACCATTTTCCTTATACCGCTGGACGCCATCCCTTTCCAAAACCCACCACCTTGATTTTCACGAACACTCTGCATCAAGGTATGGTCTTGAAGAAGAAAGCAAATTCATTTGTTACTTATGAGTTCAGTTAACTGAAGTACACTTCACTAAAGCTCTCCGTCGCCATTTCAATTGTCGTCGAGAATCCAAACCGATTACACGACATTTGAAAAATGGCAAAAGGAGAGAAACTCATAAGGTGGGGTTGAGATGGGGAGTTGATGTCCGAGAGGGTCGAGGTCACGATAGATCAGGTGGTAGAGCAGCGGCGTATCTAGCCGAAGGTCGTGGGTTCGAATCCCTCTCGTGCCATTAGCTTTTTTTCATCTCAATTAAAAACCTTAATTAATTGTAATGTTTAATTGGTCAAGCGGACCACGAAATTAGTGAAATTAAAAATAACAATGGACTTATAGTAACGTTAAGTATTGATTTGATTAATTGATATGCGATAAACGCACGAGCTTGGGGTGATTCGAGACAAAGGAGGCACGGCCTATCCCTCTAATCGCAGTTTCGGCTATCTATCACAGATTCTCGGTGGACTCTCTCATCGTGCTCTTGTAAGAGAGATGTGCTAAGCTAGAGTGCATCGGGAAAACGTCACACGTCGGGCAGGGTGGAAAATAGCGAGCAGAAGAGGCGGCGAAATTTGGGACGTTTGCTCGCCAGTCCATTCCATCGGTGTCTCTACGAACAATAAAAGAACGTCGGCAGTTTCAATTGGCCGGATCGTCCGAGCTCTTGCGTGTCATTAGTGCGACTGAGTGATGACCGTCCGATCGTAAACGCAAGGAAGGGATCGTGCTCACACATTTGGGGACAGGTCGTACTCAAATGACACAGGGACACCTGTGCTACCACATTGCATTGGAGTAGCCCCTTTAAAAAATCTTAATAAAGGCAATCAGGAAAAAAACGCCCTTTCTCATAATTTATTTTTTTCCACAAAGCAGGGAATCTAGAAAAATAAACAAATTAGGGGGATAGAATAGTATATTAATGTATAATTTTTTGGCGTACATTAAAATAGGAGAAATACTGCTACAATATCGATTAATTGAATTTATTAATGTTTGACAAACAGCTATTTTTGATCACTTCCTGTGACAAAACGAATATTCCTTGTCAAGTGATATTTTATAACACGAAAGTATCAAGTTTCGTCATAATGGAGACATCAACGGAAAGCGTCAGATAAATTTTTTAGTGAATACATTTTTTGATTGGTCGTATAGGATTTCAAAAATAACTCACGGACACCGTTTGGCCGGAAAACGAACGGGTAGGTGGTGCCCATTATTCAAGGATAAAATAATGGCCGAGCACATTTTTAATTGTTGAAGGCTTGACATATAGGTAAGATTTTAGCACATTGTCACACCTGGGCGTAGTCTTGGGGAACGGTGGCAGCACAAATCGCTGTTCGATATAGGGATTTACATATGTATAGTGTGTGTGTTGTGCGGGTAGTGTTTATGTTTATTTACTAGTATGAATGTAATTTATTAGCGTGAAAGGACGGGATTGTTTAATTCCCGAGGAAGCTCGAATACTCTGGGGTGAGTGTTTGATGTCTGGAGAGTAAAAGTAGGTTATTAGCGAGAATGGAGTGGGTTCGACCCCGCCCCGAGGAATATCGAGTACAGAGGTGAGTGTGTGATATCTCGAGAATAAAAGTAACTTATTAGCGTGAACGGAGCAGGTTCGGGGAGGGGGGGTCGGCGATGACTTCACCTGCGTGTCGGTCCCTATTAATATTACATATGATTGCAAACAATTTAGTTCTTTTGAAGATAATAGTTAACAATCTGCAATAAAAACTAGCAGAGGAATTCATAGATCAAACTATTAACAATTTAAATTAACCAAAAACAAAGATTTAGAAAGAATTAAAATTTAACAAGTTTACTGGAGAGCCTATTCATTAATTAATCAATTTGTTACAAGAAGAGCTTTTTTCCTTTTACTTTGATTTTAATTTTACTAATTGACACCTATTTCGTGGATTGAGGCAAATCGTTCAGTACCTTGAGAGTGAGGGCGTCAATTTAACGGTGAGCACCCGGACAAATGAAGACCGGTGATTCGATTTTATTTAAATTCAGCCCAGTTTAATCCGTTTTAAAGCTTAAACTGGCAAAGGCCTCGGGCAGATTTCACCCCCTTCAAAAGCGCCACGCATCTCTTGCTCGTCAACGGCCGGAACGGGCTTTCCAATCAGCGAGGACGTTTTTTTCTTTTTGGTTTTAGAAACAAAAATTTCTATTTCATTTGTCCTTTTAAAAGCCATGGCAGTTGCACAAGGCTACTATCGTCATTCCTCAGATTAGCTGATTAGCTCGTACTCCCTAAATTTAAATATTGTGGCCGTCCCTGCACTAAAGTTTCTGGTGTCTTACAACCTTAACTTTACCGATGTTCTCTTATATTTCGAACTACAAAACTTAACTTTACCGAAAGTACTTGAGCTGCATGAAAGTAAAAATTAATTGATCAGGTCAAGGAGTTGAACTCATAGAATAAGCTCCTGCTACTTAACAAATTGAATGACAGAAAACCAATTAAAAGCATTCTAGACGAATTAGTAGCGATTGTGAATAAGTGAATTATAGAAACGTAATTAAATTTCTCCCAAAATAATAATCAATAAACATTAATAAACAATGAGAACGCCAAAGTTTCGACGATTATATTCCACATTTCTTTAAAATTTTGTGGTTTGATTCTCCTGGATGATGATCAAAAATGTCAGAAATATTGGGTGTATGTTTTTTCCAATGTAAACTTTTTTTAACGTCAATGACTAAAACATGTCTTTTTTGGATACTAATACATGATAACAGTGAGTTTTACAAAAGGGACATCTACGTTGTCTGAGAAGGTTGGTTGGCCACGGATTTGGACCAAACTATTTTTGGCGATTTACACGATGTCACTTCATGTGAATAGGCCCTGATTTCGCCAACCCTCCCCCCACAAAAAAAAAGGTAAGTTGGAATTTTTCGTTTTTATTATTTTTATTTCGCCTTTCTACTTGCTCAAATCCACTATGTTAATATATAATTTTTCAGAACTTTTTATGTAATAATAACAAAAATGTTTCTAAAAACCAAATATCTTTTATGTGAACTAGGCTATAAAAATTTTTAGTGAAACTAATTTACAACTAAAGAAATTTCATTTTAGCATCTCTAGAGATCTCTAATATAAATTTTTCTTTGAATTTTAATATCGATAATAGAATTATCGCTTTTTACCCCAAAAATTTGTACGGTTTTTGATAAGTCGAGATCGGAATCTCTGATTGGTACGCGATAATTCAAAAACGGCTAAAAGATTTTAGGTCAAACAGACCATTTGAAAGAGTAAGAAGTAAAAATAGTTGCATTTTAACTACCTATGTACAATTAAATATATATAAAATAGTTCTATAAGAAAATACAACAAAATAATAAAATTATTTAACAGAAAATAATCTCGGTTTTTTATGGAAATAATAGGTCGATTTTGATGTTTGATACTGTTATAAACTTGACAATATTTTTAAAACGATTATCAACCATGAAATTGATTTACACCGATTTTAGCGAAAGTGAGGTCAAAATCCAATTTTTGACCATTTTCTGGCCTACTTTGTTTATAGAATGTTTGTCAAAACATGCACACAAAAACAACAGCATTTTGTTGATGTCTCTTTTTAAATCATACCAAATTAGAATATTCAGCGTCATAGAACCTTCTGTTTGTGTATATAGTTTTTTATTGTACTCGCTTCGACGGTACATATGCTATAGTTTTTTATTTGTGTATATAGTCGTTTGTTTGTGTAAATGTTTCAGCTGCATAAAATTCCCCACTAACCTCCAATCCAATCGACGCAAGGAGATCCACGAAAAAGCACCAAAGAAAGTGCTCAGTTTTATAACAAATAGCGCACTTTACAAGGTAGGCTGTAAGCTATACAGGTTCGGCAATAGATTTGTTTAGGTCGCAGTGCAGGAAAGAATTGCATTCTGCATCAACCCGAAAAACTATTTAAAAAAATTTATTTATTTTATTTATTATTACATTATTATTAATGTGCGGTGTTTGACCGTTAGCCAATGATTATTTGGATATCGTGAGGTGCGGTCTGGTGTGACGTAGGTTTTAGAAAAACATTTTCTTTACCATGCCAACGTTTCGATCTTTATTGAGATCATCTTCAGGGCCTGGGATTTATAAACATTGTTTCAATTTTACAAATACATGTAGGATGTGGAAAAAAATGAATTTATACAATGCTAGTAAATTTTGAATAAAAAAATGAATTTATACAATGCTAGAAAATTTTAGATAAAAAAAAAGAATTTATACAATGCTAGAAAATACGTTTAAAATTTATACGAATACTTTGATTGAATCTTGATTGATAAATGTGAAACAATGTTTATAAATCCCAGGCCCTGAAGATTATTTCAATAAAGATCGAAACGATGGCCCGATAAAGAAAATGTTTTTCTAAAACCTACGTCACACCAGACCGCACCTCACGATCTCCAAATAATCATTATTATTAATGTTATTATTTGGAAGCTAGTTGTAAGCAATTATTTTTTTAAGATCGTTTTTAAGGTGTTTTTCGGAAACGTACAACCATTTCGACATATCATTTTATTACAGCTGTAATAAAATGATATGTCGAAATTGTTGTATGTTCCTGAAGAAAAAAAAACGATCTTTAAATAAGCGAACAACCACGAAGGAAGAAGAGAAGAATAAAAGTTATTTTTTTGTTACAGGTTTGATTTAAGATTGCAAGCTCTCTACAATACCTGATTAAACTGACCCAATCTTTTCCATTCAGGTAATCTGTACACACGATTACTGGGAGGACTTGAAACCCTAGCCATTTGTTCCTCAAGTCACATAAACTTGGACAGGTAACAATAAAATGGTACAGATCTTCCTCCTCATTTAAATGACAAATGCTCAATTTCATTAAAAGGTGATTTATTAAGTTTTAGAGAATCTCTAATTTTTACGATTAGTATTATGTTACCCAATCTCAAATCACGCCAAAGATTCTCATTGCCTGTTCAATCAAACCGTAACCGTATCATAGCTTAGCCTTAGCTGTTAAATCTTTGAAGTCTTCCTAAGAATTGAACAAAGCAATATACTTAGGTATTTATATTCACTTACCTTTTCGATATTGGTCTCGGCAAAACAAACTTTCATTTTTTTACCATTTTCCCCCTTTCTTGAAAATTATTATCTTAGATTTCTCTAGGTTCAGCCGAAAGTTTCACAGATTTACATATTTTTCTAGTGAGAATATCGCCAGTATATATGAATACTATTGTTCTAATAAAATGACTTTAATACTGACTATGATGCATATACAGTATATCCTATCCCAACTATCTTAGTCAAATGAATCAAATCAGAATTTGCTGCATGTACTATTTTCGTCAACAGTAAAAGCATATTTCATATCAGATAAGCAGACTCGCTAAGATTAGTACTATGCTAATTGAAATATTCGTGTTGCGACAAAAAGTTTCGCAAGGCAAACCGTTCAATGAGAAAATCTAAATGAGGATCTTGTAGGGAAAACCGTGTCAATTGGTTGCTTTTCATTATTTCAACGCCTCCAAGGTGACATCGCCAATCAGCCTTTAAAAAGAAAATTTCGTCATAGTCATAGTCGTAAAACGACAGTCGAAAATGGACAGAGCGAAAAAAAACATAAAAATATATGTTTGAATAAGTTCATTTCAACAATTATTTTTTAACTGAATAAAATGGTGGACGTTGCCTAACTTAACAACTCTCAAGAAAGTGTGTGGCAAAGTAATAAATACGAATTCTCGTAAATAGTAAAAAGAAGAAACCGATCTCGAAGATTCAATGCAAAGATTCAAGTTCCGCACTCAATAACTTCTTGAGTTTCTTTACACGAATTTAATTTCACACAAAGGAACAAGGAATTTATTTTGCAAACAAATTTCGAAGTCGAACTTCTTATATTGTTTGCACACTTTGTTTTCCCTTCTTTTGTTGTAATAAAAAAGGAGCTACTGTACTATGCCATCTCACACTACTTTTTCCCTGATAAATTATTGAGAACACTGATTAAATACATGCTATAAAAGGTAAAAGTGAAGAGATAATTTTCAGGAATTCTGTGTCTTCCTCGATTAAAAATAATTTGTGCTCCTTGATTAGCAAACAAACTCACATGACAGTTATCAATAAGAGAAGTAATTCCTGTCATACACACCGTTGTATGTCAAGTACGAAAAATCAAAACCACTTTATATACTTTTTTCCAAATCATTCTTAAATAAAAGTTCACGGAATGTACCGAGATTCGAACCCAGAATCGCGTGACAAATACGAGACGGACGGCAATAATTGATGATATAACGAAGAACAGTTAACAGTTTTAAACAAACCGAATATTATGTAAACCAAAAAAAGGTGAATTCAAATCGGAATATATCATCTGAGATACAACTTTTCGTTTTAGTTGTGATACGTATATATTTGGTTCATTTCCAATGCACCTGATAGATTACATTTAAGTATAGAATTGGTGATGCATTATATTACGTTGAAGTTGTTTATAAATTAATGTATTATTTTCTCGTGTAGAACCGACTGGGACAACCCGAAACCTAACGTATATATCCCTACCTAAAAATCCGTCCCTAAAACTACTAACCGTAACGAGCCTAACCTAATCAAAACGTCTACCCGGTAATGCGAAAATGGTCACGCAAAAGAAATTTGATTATCAGCCCAAGTATAACATTTGTATTACCATTTAATACACTAAGGTCACAAAAACTGGGAGGAGAATTCGGCTGCTAGTATATAACTAGAAATTTCCACATGAAGAAGCTTAAGCTGAAAGTTGATGTCAAAGGTCCCTTTTTTAAATAAACAAGAGAAAAGAAGTTAAAGTTATTTACCAGTGTCAAAAAAGGCATTTTTTAGTCATATAGGTTAAAAAGTTTACATTGTACATACATGGCATATATATATATATATATATATATATATACCGATTATATACACTGCCCATCACCCGACCACCTGGTTTTTGCAGGAGAAAATGACCAACTTTGTTATATTTTCTGAGCCTTTTAAGTCACAGAATTCTGCTAGGTCTCATATTTTAGAATCAGTACATTCAAAAATTCGGAAACATTTTAATTTTGGCACTTTTTACGACTTCAAATTGAGCTTGGAACCCGGAAAATTTACATGCCCATGAAAAAAAAACCGATCACTTTCTCGGGTTCTTCGATATCGGTTGAGAAATCGGGCAAAGTGGAAGATGATCAATTGAAAGGTTATTAAAATTTCCTATCGGTTGCTGTAGGGCGCAGCTCNAATATAAAAAAATATAAATAAATAAATAAATAAAATTAAAATAAAAATCGACCACCTGGCTTTTGCAGGAAAAAATGACCAACTTAGGAATTGCATATTTTCTGAGCCTTTTAAATCACAGAATTGCGCTAGGTCTCATATTTTAGAATCAGTATATTCAATAATTCGAGAACATGTTAATTTTGGCACTTTTTACGAAAACTTCAAATTGAGCTGTGGAACGAGAAATCGGGCAAAGTGGAAGATGACCAATTAATTGAAAGATTATTAAAATTTCTTATCGATTGCTATAGGGCTCCACAGCTCAATTTGACGTTTTCGTAAAAAGTGCCAAAATTAACATGTTCCCGAATTTGTGACCTTACTGATGAATGACTGAAGCTAGGAAGACATGTAAAAAAGCCATCTTATTCGGCGTAAAGTTTCCTAAAACATGAGACCTAGTGCACGTCTGTGACTTAAAAGACTGAAAAAGTATTCGTTTCCAAAGTTGGCCATTTTTTCGTGCACAAACCAGGTGGTCGGTTTGTTCTTTCTTTTTGATAGGCAGTGTATTTTTGACATTTTTGGGCCTCACATCATCCAAGAGAGTAATACCACAAAATTCTAAATTAACATGGAATATCATCGTTGAAGTTTCAGATTTCTCATTGATTATCAATTATTAATAATTATTATTTATTGAGGGATGTGTTTGTAATTCGTCTTGAGTGCTATTTGAATGACACAATGATTTTCTGTCTTTCAATTTGTTAAGTAGCAGGATGTATTCAACTACTCGACCTGATTAAATCATTTTCGCTTTCATGCAGTCCAAGCACCTTCGGTAAAGTTAAGGTTGTAAGATAAGACATCGAAAAGTTCGGTCTTTAGTGCAGGGACGGCCACAATATTTAAATTCAGGGAGTACGAGCTAATCGGATGTTATCTGAGGAATGACGATAGGAGCCTTGTGCAACTGCCGTGGCTTTTAAAAGGACAAATGATATAAAAATATGTTTTATCTGAGTATATTTGAAGATTAATAGATTATAGTAAAAACTCAACTGAGCACCCTCACATACGTAATAATAAAAAAGTGCGCATTTGCATATGAAGCTTTACCAATAATTTGTAGCAATCCTAAATGTTTATATATTACGATAAACCATTACTTAAATTAGATTTTTAAATATATAAATTTTATGGAATTTCGGAAATAACACCTTAATACATTTCACATTTGCGACCAGAGAAGGGCTAATAATTGATATTATTTTAGTCTGACCAGTCGAATTCAAATTATAAGAAGATGTAATAAAAAATTGGCAAAATTGTTGCCGATGTCAAGCTTACGAAAAAAGCTTTTGGAGACAATAAGTAGGAAATTGCACAAATGACACCAAGGATGCCTTGTGTCAAAATTCAACCTTAAGTGCAATCGGACCGTTCTTGCAAAGGACAAACGGATAATTTAATCCTCCAACTTTTAACCTTCAACTTTGGCACAATTATCGGGAAACAGTGATCAACAGTTTAGAACGACGAAACATTTGTAAAAGTCAGCTTTTTGTATAGAACATGTAAAAATATGAAAAAATTCCAATATATATACGTTTGTAATCGTGTTGAAACAAAGAGATATTCAGGCTAACTGTGCTTATCATTTTAAGTGTTTTAAAGAGAAAAGATTCTACACGCTTTTAAGCTTATGGTTCGTTTTACTTACCACGTTGCTTATGATGTAAGTGATCTCAAAAGGACCAGAACGGAAAGCACAAGTTATGTTAAGGTAGTCAAAGCAGGACAGAATTTATTGAATCAAAGAATTTTTTAATAAATAAAAATCATTTAATTTTCACTAATCAATAACTTTCAAGACCCTTAAACATTGCTCCTTTTTTCAACAAATTCTTAGTTCCATTTTGGGGACTCGCAATAACGCGTGTGCATTTAAGCCCCCGGTGTTTTTCCATTATAAAATCATGAATTTCATAAAATTAAGGACTGTTGAGATTCGAACCTGACCCGGTCCTTCCATGAATGAGACGCCGTATCAATTTTTTTAGTTAGGGGTCAGAAAGTCTAGTGCGACCGTGGGAATCGAACCCACGACCGCCGGGTCCACGAGCCAGTAAACGATATATAAAAAATCAAGAGAAATGTATATTGTAAACGATGTTTGTTTAAGAAAAATGTATGTAAACGAAATTTTGCGCTGAAGATGGCTGCCTCGAAATATATAAACAGTTTAAAAAAGTTAGTTGTATCTATTCTATTGAAAAAAAAGAAAACTACAAGATCTCTAAGAATATTTCCTACGCTGAACGTGGTTGTTATTATATTATTATTTTAAAATTGTAAAAACAAATTCAATTCTACGTGTGTAACATTCATCTATATGGTTATAAATTGATAGTATTTTTATCCATAAACTATAAGCTTTCTCAGGGTGCGCAGACTTAAGAACTTTCTGTAAATAGGTCGTAAAGCAAATTGATTAAGGAAGAAAATGTGTAATTCACGTGTTTTCATTCGGTGGAAAACTGTTTGATATACTGAAGATCTTCCTTGGATAAGGGCTGAATCAATTGACAACAACAAAAAGGCCGACTCAATTTCCTGCCCCCTATTTACGACTTTACTTCTTTCTTCTTTATTTCTCAATTTGGCTTATTCGTTTTTATTTACTGGAGTAAATTAAGTAAAGTCTTAATTATTGGGCTTCGAACTGTTACAGTAAATCGTAATCGCGAGTTAAGATTAAATAAATAATAAATTATTAGAGGAATAAGTGTCATGAATAAGGATGAATAAGGAGCAGTAGAAAATGTTTTAAAAAAGTCTCTCAGTTGGGATATCTAATTTCTCTGCAGAAACAAATTTTAATTGAAAATCGCATTTACAAAACAAGCCTAATTGAAAAACATAATTTTCATGATTCCATTCACAAGAAATTAAATTTTGTTTTGTTAGTTTGATACATTCAAGAAATTTTAATACGAAGAAATAACGCTGAAAGTACAAAGAAAGATGATACTCTCAAGAAAAAACTTTGCAATTTTGCTGTATGACCATCAAACACCATAATGGATTAAAGAATTATTTTTAAGTAGGGAATGTGGGTCATAGGAGCTAACAATCTCAAACAGGGTAGCGTATCAGTGAAACAGGGTCATAAATTATTTACCAACTTTTCTCTACTAAGGTACACACGATACTTTTTGAAAACATTCATCTACTATTTTTCATAACAATTAAAAACTATAAAAACCGAAGAAATTTACATCTATTTACAGTACGGAAACGTACGGTTCCACACTTGAGAAATTAAAAATTAAATTTAAATTGAACGGGATCAAACACTCGTCTATTATATGTTCATAAAAGTTAGCCTTGTATATTATTAACAATAGTTTCAAAGTCCTGATAAAGAGGATATATTTCTTGAATGTTCAACGAAGAAGAAGGAACTAAGCGTTTTCTTTCAAACTGACCTTATCCCTGACTTACATGATAAAATTATCTCAAAGTACTATTCAATTAGAGCCGACAGTTTAGTTGGTTGCTTGTTTAGGATGATGCCAGCTCCCGATGCCTATAGAGCAATTGAAAACATTGTTTACATACCAGCACTCTACGTCATATTAGTCGAAATATCAGCCAGGCAACTATCAAACCTTAATCTTAATCATTAACTCCAAGATGGTGTTGAATTGCAAAACTAAATTAAATAAGTTAGGTATGCAAAAATGAAGTTACTTTCTGCTGGGTCTCAGGACATGTATGAGTAGAAAGAAACGAGAGAGCGGACTACCTTACAAGGAAGGGGGATGCAGCAACGGTGTTAAGTCCCTGAGCATTGTGGCATAGGGATTCACACTATCAATGAGTTTATTAGGCAAAAAGACAATTAAAATAAGGACCAGTGTAATTCACTCATTGGGCCCAAACAATACGAGAACCTTTACCAAGTTTTGGAAGGAAAGAAACAACAGAATGCATCAAAGGATGCAAGGAAAAATTACGAACCCTAACAAGATTCTTAACAGGACACTGCAGATTGAATGGGCATCTGAAGAAGACTGATATAGCCCGACACGGCAGGTGCAGATTCTGCTAAGACCAACTCAGCTATTAACAAACTGTGGCGCCACGTTTGCCCGCAGAAGGATTGTTTTGGGATGTACAACGTAACCGTATACGAAATTCAACCACTGAAACTGGGCCTGCTAATCAAATTTCTTACAGTCCACCCACTTTGTTGAGGGTTCTTTTATCGAAGGTTTACTGTGCCTAACGCCCCTAGTGTTTATCCACTCCTCTTTTTGCCTTTTTTCGATCCATTCTGTGATGGAGGAGTTGCTTGTTTTTGTTATCCCAAGTATAGGTTCGGGGCCTATATTCAACATTTTATGTTTATTTCATCTATCTTCAGTTTTCGTCATAAACGAACAAATAGCTCTAAAACCATACATTTTTTGGAATTAAAAAAAAAAAGAAAAAAAGGAGCGTTACATTTCCTATTAAAAGAAAGAAAATTTAAAAAAAATAAAGAAATAATGACATAGCTAACAACAAAACAGATAATATCTACTAAACTATACTAAACACAGACAAAAAAAGAACAACAACACAGAAGTTCTAAAAACCAACTTTAATCTAATAAAAAAAGCTCAAAAAAGAAAAAAATCCAACGTAAAAATCGCACACAACACATCAAAGAAAGAGAACAAAGAATGTGAACAATAGTATCTTTCTTTCTTAATTTGCTTACTTTTGAGCTTTTCTATTAAGTTAAAGTTAGGAAATAAATTTTACTCAGGACAAAAAGCTCAATTATAAGATAAACTTAGATACGTGATAATAATTTTTATCCCCATTTCCCTTTTTCTCACCGCCCCACTTTTTTTCTCAATTAGTATAAAATTGCTGCATTTTGGCTCGATATAATTAAAGAAATCGTTATACAGCTAAAGAGTGGTTACGAACTTTGCCAAGCTTTACCGTGAATTTTTCTAACAAGGTTGCAAAGTTAGAATTTTTACAAATTTTAAATTTATCATTTTTTTAAAGGTTTAGGGTTTGTTTTGCTACCAAAAATTACATTGTTTCTAGAATGGCGCATTCCTATAAAAAATTTAACACTCTTTTCAATGCTTTAAAAACTCACGCTAAAAAGTGGTTACGAACTTTGCCTAGCTTTACCGAGAATCTTTCTAAAAAGGTTTCCAAAGTTAGAATTTTTACAAATTTTAAATTTAACATTTTTTTTAAATTTAGGGTTTAGTTTTGTTACCAAAAATTAAATAGGTTCTAGAAGGGCGCCTTCTTATAGCAAATTAAGAAGCATTTATAGCAATTTAAGCTACGAGTAGATTTATGACAAAACCCGTAGAGAGTTGAAAAAACATAAAATGTTGAATATCTGCGGAAGGATTGAGAATTGGACCATGGCTTATATCTGTTTTTTCTTCCATTTGGGACATAGATATGCTGGTGATCAAGTTAATGTATTGAATAGAGAGACATCCTGTATATTCGTTATAGGTCTAGATATGGTCTTGCAGATCCACCTTTGGCCAGTGTGTTTGCTTTTACGTTACCCCAAATTCCCTTATACCTTGTATCCATGACATCATCAAGCTATTGTGTTGCCCCGGGTTTTGGAGATTTTGGATGCATTCACTTACTACTTTTGATTTGACTGTTTTTACATGCTAATACTTAATAGTTGCTTGGCTATCTAATCGTATGATTTTTTGTTAGTGTAACCTTTTTTTAAGATTTCCCATAAGACAAGCAATGATGGCATTTTAGCTTGAAAGACCGAGGTGTACTTCCCTAAAAAGTTTGATTGCTCGTGTTTTGTGCTTGTACAGTAAACTCTGATCCTGTTCCTTCTTAAGTGATCCTGTCAAGTATTATTTTTTTGGAGTCTAAATGAGCTCGCTTGTATAAAAAATACATACAAACATAAATAATAAAAATAAACAAATTAAAAGTATACTTTGATACAAGTTATTGCAGGATTAGCATCGAATATTGTTGCATTCACCCCTACAGCTCTTATAGAAGTTCATTTCTTCGAGGAAATTATTCGTTATTGTTATTAACTTATCAAAAATGTTCACTAACTTTTTTGCAAATCTGTATCAATCATAAATGACAGACGTAGTCGTACCTAGTGTTACTGGGTTCGTTTTTTTTTTTTTTTTTTGGTTAAATGTTCTTCCCTAATGAGTTTTATTCTTCATATTTTTGGCTTGCACAAAAACACCCGATCCTGTTCTTTTTTTTCAAGCCATCTATATACCATATCATTATAACTGAGAGGATGTTGTAAAGAATGTTTCTGGGATCATGTAGTCAGTCCCTATTTCTATGAATGGGTGTCTGATTTTATTGATTATTGTTGTGTGCTCGAAGAGGAGTTGTCGATGTCAATTTTGGGACTGAATCTTCAAAGAAATGTAGAACTAGTTATTAAAAATTTAATTATGTCAATTAGTAGACATCTTAAGATAGTTTTGCCCCTTATGAGGTTCAAAGCGTGATAGATAATTGAATTTCTTTTTCAAACAGACCAAACCGAGAACCAGATTATTCGTGATTATCACTTACAAGAGATTTAATGAAATTTGGTATGATGAAAATCCTTGAACTTGTAAAATTATGGAATTGATGCGGCTTGTATTAAATTTCAAGTTTTGATTTTCAGTCGAGTTTGGGTTAAATATACTATACTGGTTTGAATAAAACTTGTAAATCCTAGTTTTATTAAGGTTCAAATGATTCTATCTTTTCGACCCGACTGCCTCAGCAATAGTTTCATGCAGACCGAAGGTTAAAATGGAACGCATTAATCGATCCGAGACAAAACAAATATTAACAAAGAAAAAAGAGACAAAGTTGAATTCAAATTAAAATCAATTGTTTTAAAACAAAAACAAGTTACTTACTCTGATCTTTGATTTTCAGGAGGAAACGGACGGGAGTCCGCCCTTGGAGGACCAAGAACGATACTAACTAAAACATGGACGAAAATCGCCGGTCAGCCAGTTCCCGCCTCGTGGGGAGAAAGACTGATAACATCCAAGGTTAATGTCTCAAACGAAACTATTTCAAACAGGAAAACCTTTGAGAAAAACTGGAGGAATGAACGTTCTTTCGAAAAAAAACCTGCGTACATCAGGAAGAAAATATTGGCGTAACTTTCGACTTATTATTTTCCATGTCTACTTGCAGTCAGACGACTGGACGGGATGTAGGATTAAATAAAATTAATTATTCGTTTACTTTTTTAAGTATGATTCAAGAAAAAAGATGTGATAAGGGTTAACCTCTTATACGAGTTTATCCCATTTCCCTGCGGCCGTGGCACATATTGCTAGCAAGACGAGCGCATTCTACCGTCGACCGCTTATTTCGACGAATTTACAAAATTTTCTAACAAAGCTAGCGAATTTCTTGCTAGATAGATAAATTTTTAGATTCTTTTCATGTCTGGTTGCAAGGTTAGAGTTATGGTTACAAAGGATTCATTCACTTTCAGAAATAACAGTACCAATTACTGATCGGTTAGGTATGGGCATCCTTCAAATCTTGCCTTTTCCTCTCTGAAGAGTAAGACTCTCATCATGCTGCAATGGTCTTTTAAATATTATAACAAATCTAGCAATTTTTTTGCTACATAGGTAAATTTCTGTTGGTGTCTGGTTGCAAGGTTAGTGTTAAGGTTATAAAGGATTTGTTCTCTTTTCGAACCTACGTACCATGACCAATATTGTTCTGTTGTGGATGTGAATCCTTCAAGTCTTGGTTTTTCTTCTCTGAAGAGTAAGAAGTCCTTTAAATGTTATAACAAATCTAGAAAGTTTTTTGCTAGCTATGTAAATTTCTAGATTCTGTTTCTAAATTCACATGCCAATATAATCTATAGTGTCTAACTGCCTTAGCCATCGATCTAGTCTTAGCATGTCCTAAGTTCTGCAATGGTAGTAGTTCTGCAATGGTCCTTTAAAGGTTGTTACAAATTTAGTAAATTTCTTGCTAGATAGGTAAATATCTAGATTCTGTTGGTGTCTGGTACAAAGGTTGAGTTAAAACAAGGTTGGAATTAAGGTTAAAAAGATTAATTCTCTTTCCCATCTTATACGCCATGATCAATATTGGTATATTATGCAACCTCCATTATTTCAACAGTTGTCGGTAATCTTAAGTCTTTTCAGTTAGCCATGCTTTGTTTAGTGTGTATACTTCAAGTGTTGGCTTTTCCTCTCCAAAGAGTAAGAATCTCACTCTGAATAGTACTTCGCACTAACAGGACATGTTCGACTATTTCTACTTCTTCCTGGCAATATCTGTTCAAGCTTATTTCTCCTGCTCTGTGTTTATTCATATGCTAACAGACTCTGCACTATCTAGGCAGGAGTCCTACCACTGTTCTTGTCTTAACATATCCTAAATTTAGTAGTTCTGCAATGTCCTTTAAATATTGTTATTAATCCAATAAATTTCTTGTTAAATAGGTAAATTTCTAGATTCTGTTGGTATCTGGTTCAAAGGTTGAGTCAAAGCAAGATTGGAATTAAAGTTAAAAAAGATTTGTTTTCTTTACAAACTTGCACACTGTGACCAATATTGGCCTATTGTGAAATCTCCATTATTATATAGGTTTTGTTAAAGTTTAAGGCCCAATGCATTGCTATGAACTCTTATGCGTGTCCTTCAAGTTTTGGATTTTCCTCTCCCAAGCAATTGAATCTCATTCTGCAAGGTACTTCGCACTCACAGAGGACGTATTCTGCAATTTCTTCTTCTTCCTGGCAGTGTATGCACAAGCTTATTTCTGGTGCATTTATTCATATGATAATGTGAAGTGTCTAGATCATGGTCTTAGCCATCATTTTAATCCTAGCATGCCCTAAGTTAAGTAGTTCTGCAATGGTCCTTTAATGGACTTTTCTGCATGCCTCTCTTGAAATACAACCTCATACGACTTATTCTTAACTCATTCATGGTCTACATTTTTGGCAGTTTGGTATACTATATTGTATAATTTATAGGAGTTCCACAATGATCTATTTAGGTCAAAGTTGGAAAAAAGGATTGTCATAATTGTATATCAATCTCATCAACCGCAACCCTTAAAAAAGTTTAAAAGGGCTCAGACTGATTGATGTCGACTCAGAAAAAAGTGAAAACTGTATTCAATTATTCAACATAAATTTGTCAATAACAACTCTTAAGAAAGAATGTTAATGTTTAAAAATATCATCTGAAGAAGGTGGGCAAAGCAGAGACAGAAATATGCCGGCTCTGTCAGGAGGAACCGTAGTCATCGGCATTTATCCTTTGTGAACCATTAGCCTCATTACAGAACAGCCACTTTGGAATGACATTTCCTCACACCAAGGAGGTCCACGAAGAGGCACTAAGGTAAGTGCTTAGTCACATTTTCCATGGTACGCTATCAATTATAGGAATTCCACAATGATCTATTTAGGTCGCAGTGGAAGAAAGGATTGTCATAATAGTATATCAACCCCATCAATCACAACCCTTAAAAAAGTTTAAAAACTGAGTAGAAATTAAGTTTTGAAGTACATTTTTGAGCTCATGTTTTATTTGTAACAGTTTAGTTATGTTATGAAGGTGATCAACTTTTTTGTGTAGCAAAAGGAAGAAATTGTTCATTTTAAAAATTGATTTTCTATCATTTGAAGTTTTTTAAGGTTAGTTTTACAGGAGATACTCCATACATTGCTAGTATATAGAAGCATAGGTTTCACAATACTTTGTACATAGTTATTTTAGTATTCACAGAAATGGTGGTGTACAGCAAAGAATAGTGAACAGATTCCTAATAGAAAATTTTCTTTTTGTTACTTAATCATTTATATGGGGCTGAAGGTTAACTTAAGGTTAACTAATAGCCACAGATATTTAACTATGTTACCCACCTTACTCATTGGATTCCACACAATATCGAATAATCTGGATCACGGTATGATCTTGGTGAAAAACCAAATTCAATTGTTATCTTCCAATGAATCCAAAATGAAAATTGAAACTTAATGAGAACATGTTTAAACCTATTTTTTTCACCAAAGAAAACCAATTCTAGACCAATACATAGTGTCATTTAAAAAATTGTATCTTACTTACAGTTTGTTGTTTTCAACGTCCGGATTTCAAGCTTAAAGCACATCATCAGGTTGAAAGATTTACAACCACGTCTCGACAGGAATTGTAAAATTGAAACCGCCGAGCGCGGATCCACTGCCAACGTGACATTCCAATGAGTAGCCGATTTTTATTGCCGCTCAATTTTGAATGTGCGAAAAGCGGGAATTATAAAATATCTAAATATTATCTTAGTAAATACTGTAAGAAAATAATTTTAAATTTGTGATTAATTTGTATGTCTTTTTATTAAATATTTAATAAAAAATAAAAATTAAATAGATAAATCAAACAACGAATTCAGTACTTCCAATCCAAAGTCCTCTGAATCATAGTCAATGATCCCTAGTGTCACCAATACCACCCTCCACAACGACCCCAAAATAACCTTTGTAAATAAACTAATCTCCATGAAATTTTCCACATTCCAAAACTATCCTCACATCCTAATATATTAGATCAATCCATGTCCAACATTATCCATCCCTACAGCTCAATAAAGTGTTTGAGGTGTAGATGGCCCTGGTACTTCTTTATGAATTGTTCATAAATAACTATTCAGAAAGCTCGGAGATCAACAATGGTTGCTGACGCCCCTCAGGATGATTGTAAATGATAAATATTGTATCACATTACATAATGAATATATTTTTACAGATGGTAATACATAATTAAAAAATCAACAAGAGATTAATAAATAAATAATAAAAATTAAATTAATTTATATGTCAAATATTATTTAGGAACATAATTAAAATGGGAGGTAAATCAAAATCCACTATATCTTTTACGCATTTATCTCCATGTTTTATTTTACATTTTTTAATTTCAAATTTCACAAACCAATCTAGTTCGCTTACTGGGTTGAAACCATGTAATATGGTTGTATTTAAATTTGAATTGTGTTTTGCTTCATTTAGATGGTCCTTCAATTTAGAAAATTTGTTCGATTTAGGCAAGTGTTCTTTAGAATTCATTTTTATTTCTCAGCCACTTTGTCTTATAGTTATTTGAAATCAATATCAAATAGGACTTTAGGGTTTTTTAATGTTGGGGTGGATGAGTCCAATTGTTGTACCTTTTAAAGTTAATATTTTTTTATATTCTTTTTGCTAGCAACCAATCGATAAATATTTCCTGATATCCATTGTTTTTAGCTAAGGTTTTAATCGTTTAAAATTCTTTTTATAATTAGCAGGTGGAGGGGGAGTTTCATCATACAGTCTATGAGCCAAATGAAACCAACAGAGGTCCACAGGCAAGAAGAATCTACTGGTTTCATAGTGACCATATTAGTGGGTTTTCTAAGGTTTTCTATACACATATATTTCTAATATATAGTCATATATTTCACTCATAATAATAAATAATTACACATAAGATAGATTATTCAACATAATGCCACCCCACCAAAAATGAAACATTACGTTTTCGTTGCTTGCCGTATTGGTGAACTATCAGAAAAAGTAGGTAAAATTCTTAAACAAGAAGTTTTAGAGAACTTTTAGAAGGGCATGTTCATTTAGAAACATCCTCTCAAACCTAAAGACAAGACTGACAATTTGTCAAAAAGTGGAGTGTACAAACTTAATTATAATACATTATATTTCATGGTCCGATTGGCCAAATAACTTCTTTCAATTAATTAATATTTTTATGTAAGCTTTTTAGTTGAGATACAAAAATCAGAGTGGGATCCCAACCCATGACCTTCACCTTAATACGCTGCTGCTCTAACCATTTGAGCTATTGTGACAAACTTAATTATAATAATTGCGATATTAAATATATAGGAGAAAGTGACAGAGAAATAAAAACGAGAGTTAAAGAACACTTGCCTTAATTGGACAAATTTTCTGAATTCAAAGACTGTATAATTAA